AGGGTTTAGGGTAGGGGCCTAAATAACTACCGTATTTTCCTTGTATTTTTTTTAATCATTAAGCCCCTGCATTAGCCATTGGGAGTGCTTTCATGGTTTTGGCCTAACATATTGGGCCTATGATAGAACGTTTGAAGGTTTGTTGATCTGAAGCCCCTAGACCCTAACACCCGTAAGCCTGAACCCTACCCTTTAAACCCTACACCCCTAAGCCCTAANNGCCCTACACCTAGCCAGGTGGGAGGCAAAAAAACCTACACCCTAAGCCCTCAAGCCCTAACGCCCTACACCCTAAGCCCTAAACCCTAAACCCTTAACCCCAAACCCTAAACCCTAAACCTTACATCAAAAGCCCTAACCGAAGAAGAAAGGCGCTGCCTGGACTCCACGAGACGAGTTGTCTGCAGCTTGGGGAACGGCACGGCCAGCCGGGAGACGGAGGCTGTTGGGTTTTAGGGTCAAGGTTTGGGGTTTTAGGGTTTAGGGTTTAGGGTTAAGGTTTAAGGTTTGGGGTTTAGGGTTTTAAGGTTTAGGGTTTAAGCTTTGGGGTTTAGGGTTTAGGGTTTTTTGGGCTTCGGGTTTACATCCGAGACAGGACTTAGGGTTTTAATAGGGTTTAGGATTGGAGTTTTAGGGGGTATATAGGGGTTTCAAAAACGGGGTTTCGCTAGGGTTTCGGGTCTAGGGGTTAGGGGTTACATGAAAGGGTTTACGGATTTAGGAGCCTTATAAGGGAACTGAGTAAAGGCGTTAGGGTTTAGGGTGCAGTTTGGAGGGGTCTAGGAGTTTGTGTTTTGGGTTTGGAGGCTCGGGGGTTAGATTTAGGCTCAAGGGGTTTAGGGGTTTTTGGGCAGTAAGGGCAGCAGCAGAGTCCCTTGTGAAAAAGGTTTTTTCAGTACAAGTTCACCAAAAAAGGCTTAGGGTATCCCGCGAGACAGAGGCTTGGCTACGCCAGCAGCTCAAAGCGTCGGACTTCCTGGCAGATCGCGTAGGCTATGCCGTGGTGGATGAGTCCGGGGCCTCGATCTATAGCGCCTCAGAGCTCGCTGGCGCAGAGCTGCCGGAACTGGACGTGTCGATGCGGGGCGCCGTGTCCATCGCGCGACGCCTCTTAGACCCACTCTCCGAGCTGGTGAAGATCGATCCTCGGAGCATAGGGGTGGGCCTCTACCAGCACGATGCTGGGTTCTGGTTCAGGAGCTTGTTTTTTTGAGTTGCGAGAGGAGGGAGAGCGTGTCTTGGTTAAGTTAATTACCCTAAACTCTAAACCCTAAACCCTAAACCTTAAACCCTATAAACCCTAATTAAGCCCTAAACCCTAAACCCTATGTGAAGTGGCCAAGCAAAAGCTGAGGATGTGGACCAAAGGCGCCTGGCAGAGGAGCTCAAGGGCGCCACCATGGATTGCGTGAACGCCGTGGGCGTCGATCTCAACACGGCCTCGCCGGCAATCCTGGAGCCCCTTAGAAGCCTTAGCAGGATGAGGGTTTGGGGCATTTTTGGGGTATCCTGGGTTCCGGGTTTAGGGTTTAGGGTTCAGGAATGAATTCGTAGTTCAGGACAAGGGCTGAGGCTTCAGTGAGGGTCCCTTGCACCTGCTTTCGGACACATCTCCAAGGCAACTCACTTATGCTTCCCCTAGGTGTTCACTAGAACGCACTAGTGAGTGCTAGGGCCCCCCTGCAGTCGTCATATAAGTTTTTAGTAGCATATACCCCAAAACTCTCTCCTGCAAATGGGTAGTATTATTAGGGGTACCCCTTAAAGGGTACCCCTTCTGAACCCTGCTTTTGGCTCTCTTAAAAGGGACCTTATTGAGAGGGTCTACATCCCCAAGGGTCCCCCCTAATCCTAGCTACCAGCCAAGCCTACTTTTAGGCATGTGTCCGGGCTGACGGCAGCCCTGGCGCAGAGCATCATCCGGCATCGAAGCGACATCGGCCGCTTCAAGTCCCGAGCGGACTTGCTGTCAGTACGAGGCGTCTGTGCTCTTATGTAGGATTTAGGGGTCAGGGTTTAGGGTTTATAGGGGTCTGGGTCAGTGAGAGAGGGAGGCGTCAGGGTATAGGTGGCCAATTCGGAAAGGGCTGCCAGCCCTACCATCACAGTTAGTGAAGCTGCAGAATGAAGCGCCGCGGATGTGACGATGTAGATTGTACCGTTCCTGGCGAGCAAGGCTCCAATGCACGCCGTTCGAGCCCAAAGCCTGTTCCGGCCATTGACATTTCAAGACACTTTTAAACGCCGTCGCCTGTCGGCAACACTACCCCCTAAACCTGAACACCAAGACAAGGAAGTCTAAACCCAGGACCCAGAACCCCGACAGCCGTGGCAATGTGTCTTAGGACCATTTGGTACCTATAGAACTTGGACAAATCCAGAGTGTCCGAGTTGCTACTCTTGGAACAGCATCAAACCTGACTGAAGCTTCAAACCATTGACGGCATTGGTTCAGAAGTTAGAAATCATAGTAAGTTATTATATGAGCTGCCAGCTCTGTCCTTGTAGACTACACCTCATCCAAACCGCGTGGCCGTATCCGAAATCCAAGACCCTGCATCATTTTAACTCCCAAACTTTAATGGCATATAAACTGTTGTGTAGCCACGACTCTTTCCTACCCCCTAACCCCTTCGAGCCCGATATACTTGTGGCTGAAGTCCCCTGACCCTTCAGCCCTAAACCCCTACATAAACCCTACCTTTTCTCCCGCAAAACTCTACTCCAAACCCTAAACCCTTAAACCCTAAACCCTTCTCTTCTCCCCCCAAAACTCTATTCCAAACCCTACACCCTTAAACCCTAAACCCTAAACCCTACTCTTCTCCCCCTAAACTCTATTCCAAACCCTAAACGCTTAAACCCTTAAACCCCTAAACCCTCAACCCTACTCTTCTCCCCCTAAACTCTACTCCCGCTGCCCTCTTGGTCCTTTGAGCCCAGGAGTAATAGATCAATATGATAGTCCCTTAAGGTCCCTTATAGTAGTCCCTATAACCCATTCCCCCATTCCCTACTAAGCACCAGACAGTTTGAGCTCAGGAGTGGGTATTCCAAACCCTAAATAAACGCTTAAACCCTAAACCCTAAACCCTGCTCTACTCCCCCTAAACTCTACTCCCTCTGCCCTTTTGGTCCTTTGAACCCAGGAGTGGGGCCCCGGACCTTCGAGCAGGCGGCCGGGTTTCTGCGCGTCTTCGCGGGCTCGGAGCCCTTGGATGAGCTGCCGATCCACCCCGAGAGCCCCTCGGAGCTTCGGTTGAGGGTTTAGGGTTTAGGGGCTTAGGGGTTTAGGGGCTTAGGGGTTGAGGGTTTAGATGTCAGGGGTTCAGGGGTTGAGGGTTGGGGGTTTAGGGGTTTAGCGCTGGAGTCCGGAGCTTGGCTGAAGGGATTCAGGGCTGAGTGCATTGCAGTCC